ACTTATGAGTTGTGTCAATGAAACTTATGCCCGAAGAGATTTTTATACATTCACAAACAACGACTGATTTTTTTTGGATGATTGGCACTGGCAGGGGAACTTTTTCTCCAAAGACTTGTAGCTACTTTATTAAAGAATCATCTTTTCAATCATCCTTGTAATCTAGTTTCCTCTCCCAAGTATTACTGATGTCCTAGCAAGTCAATTATTTTTTTTCTAATTTACCTTAGCTTTCAGTTTTGCTGATTTTCATTTTCTAGGATTGTTCATCTTGAATTGTTGGTGGATTTCTGAAAAGGTACTTGTTCAATATTCTCCCAACTTGCTTCACTTTTCTTTGGTGTCATGTTTATTAAAAATAGTTGAATTACTAGGCTATGTTATTTCCTGTTTCTTGATATTAATTCCACATTTTACATTTGTTATTATTTTTAAATATGCTCTGTTTCACTTTTTGCCGAAATTATTTGATTTGCTAAAAGAAGCTTACTTAAATTGATAGCAATGCAAAGATTACCCTTAAGAGAAATTTTATGTTGCACTAAATGTGAGAGAGGAAAGTAGGGATCGGTCCTTGCCTGTTGAATCATACAATGAAGATTTTGTATTTGAGCAGATTTGATAATGCTTGTTTTGGGTAGGAATGATTTGGTATTGGTATGTTGTTAACTTTTTGCTTTAATTCGTGGATTTTGCAGTTCTCTCTCTATCTTTTTGTCTCTCTCTCTCTCCCCTCTCTTCTTCCACATGTATACTTTTCTTTTTGTGGAAATTTGTGAAGAAGTGTGTCCATGGACTTGTGATTTACAAAGGTGACACAGTTTCGAGCTATTCAGGAAATAGAACTATTTATCATAAAGTGTATTTTTTAGTTTTTACGTGAGATGTACTGCTAAGTGTACAGTTCATGCAAAATAGCATTCAAATGCACTTTACATATTGCTCAAATTTGAGCACACTTCATGAATTAAGCATTCCTACGCACCCTTTTCACAGAGTTTCCCTTTGTATTTTTGTTTATGTAATAATTTATTTTGTTCCTTCATGATTTTGCATTTTTGGCATTCTAAGCCCTTTGAATTGGCGCCAGGATTTCATATTGACCAAATTTTAACAAAGTAAACTACTGATTCTAGGCTAACAAAGAAGTTGGAAGGGTCAAGGAGGTTAAAGGTAGTAGAAGATGAGAGCTATTAAGAAGACCTTCTTCATATCTCATGGATCACCAATGCTTTCTATAGATGAGTCATTGGCTGCTAGACATTTCTTGTAGGCTTTCAAAAAAACTATGTTTAGTTAGAGACCTAAGAGGATTATGGTGATATCTTCTTATTGGGATACCTCAGAACCAACTGTAAATACCATCCATGGTTGCCATGATACCATCCATGACTTCTATGGTTTCCCCAGGCCCATGTATGAGGTGCCTTCCTATTCTTTTTTCCTTCTTATAACACATTTATGCTCATGTGGATGTAGTATGTTGGTATATAGGTATATGGCACTTACATATGTTCTATGATTGTTTATAATTTACTTCCACATGTTTTAGATTCAATATTGACACTTGTTGGGAGCTATCTCATACATTAGATAGGTTTTTGCTTTTGTCTTTCAATATGAATTGTGTCAGTTCATTGTGCTTGTATGTTAATTGTAGAATGTTGATGCGCATTTAACCTAAACAATGGACAATAAGTTGGCTGGTTAGAAGAATTTAAAACAAAACTTGACATTTTTATACTCATCTTGGTTATTAAAGAAGAAAAGAATAACATAAGATCTAAGAGGATATGTAAAATTTATATAATATATTTTGTTTGGCAATGTATTACTTGTGCAAACTATAAGTATCTCATTCATTTATTGATGTAGATGCATGTATGTTGATGTTCTACAAGACAATTATATGAAAGAAATTTGCTAGCAAATTTGAAAGATATGAAATTCTTGGAGAATATGAAATTTTACAACAACTTTTGAATTTTTATTCTGAATATTCTGTTATTTAAAGATGGTCTAAACATTGTGGTATGCTGTTTATGTAACCCTACAGTTTGGATATTGGCTCTAACTAATTTGCTAATGGGGTGTATTCTAATCTCTCTGGATTTGGACCACAAGGAGGAAAATTTTTACAAGTCTCGATGATGATCTTCTTCATTGAAGATTTTGTTATAGTATTCGAGTTAATAAATAACATCTTCTTCATTGAAGACATTGTTCATGGTAGTTTGAATACGTCTTGTATGCTTTCTTTTGATATGTGACCACAGTTTTTTTTTAGCATCAACCTTGATTTTGTAGTTTTAGAGATCTATTTAGCCAGTGATCTTTGTCCCTCTCTTAGTTTATTTCAATTTGCTTTGCTAGCTCTTGACTCTTGAATGCTATGTGGTCATTCCTAAAGTATCATAGGGCTTTCTTAACTTGTATTGCTAGAAGCGCTCAATTGCTTGTTTTAAAGAAGTTTCTTTTATTCTAGCTAACGTGTCAGAGATGCTATTCTAGTTCCATGTTGCTTTTTTGAAAGTGCCTATCTTGTCAGTAACTATATTAGGCCATTCTGCCTATAACCAATTGCTTGTGAGTTGGATCCTCTGGTTCTCTATCTTATTTCCAGAGCATGCAACATTGTTCATTTCTGACTTCTATGTCCACCACTAAAAATTGCGGTACAAAATTAGGCTTGTTGAAGATAATCTAAGAGGGCTTAGTGAACTCTATGATTCTCCTCTAACAATTTAGGATCATATATGAGTTCTTAATTATAGAGAACAAATTATTATGTATTCAAGAATTAGGGACAAACACCAAAAATCACAGAGTTATTTGTCAAGTTCTTTCCCAGTGTCTAGTATCCTAAATAAAGATGTAGATTTTAACTTGTTATTATGGGTATATTACAAACCACTCTAGTAGTTGTGCTAATGTTGAACATTTATATGACAATCTCAAGCAACTGCTATTCTTTCTCTGCTTCTTTGTAGTGATGGCATGTTATTTGTCATTATCTATCACAATATTGCATTAAAAGAATAAACAAAGATGGAAGAGTATTTTCAAGTTAAAGTAGGTTGAAGTAGTCAACTTTATTGGCAATAGGGTCTTTGCTAGGTTATGAGGTCCTCAAGATATGTTGTTCGATCTATTCTTAAGGTCTTATTGCAAGCAATCACCTATTTTAGGTGAAATGTTAGTTTTCCTGATTCTTCATCCAAGTTTATTATTTATCCATTTCAATGTGCATTTGTTTCAAAGTGTCTTGAGTTGGTGAGTTGATAAACCTTAAAGAGTCCTTGTACTGCTTCTCCACTGGAATCCAAACTTGATTGTAGTTCATAGATGACTACTCTAGGGAAAATGGCTTTTAACAAAATCAACAAATATAGGGGACATGTTAAAAAATGAGGTCAAAGATTGGGGTGAGAAGGACTAGACATAGAATCTGAAGGTACTAGGCTAGCGGAAGATGGGTCGATTAAGTGAGCAATTGAGTGAGGAAGTGGTTGCAACTATTATCTGGCAATTGAGAAAATGCTAGTGGTTGAGGTAAAGAAGAAAAGAAGAATGGAATGACAGAGATATTAAAGGGGGTTATGCATCAGGAGGGTGGCAAAGTTTCCTTCAGAAGTGAGGGGAAAAATGGATAGAAATGGCATTCGTTTGGATAGGCATGCTTAGATCACCTAGCAAACGAATGAAAATTGACATTGTAAAGTTTATTTACAAAGACAAAGTTACTGAATTTTCTTTTACCCTACGACAAAATTTAATAGGATAAGTGTTGTTAAATTGTAGGGCAAAATCATATTATAAAAGTTATTGTATTTGAAGAAACAAGTTTAATTATTGCAAAATCTTTCACTAAGATTTACTCTTAAAGTAAGTAATGGTACTTGCATAAGATGGAAAATTATATAAGAAATCAAAAACCAGCATTTTACTTCTTGTGGTTTTTCATATCTTTACAACTTTTGAAGACTATATATATGGCAAAGCTTGCTTATCATGCATACAAGACTGATTCACCGCTTTGAGTGTGGAAAGGTGACTTTTGTGCAACCATTACTAGTCATTTTTTTAAGTAGGCAGTAAGTGGGAGACCTTTCTACACCTTGCAAATGCAATTTTCACTGAACTTGAGCAACAGCAGTCTTAAGAAAGTTGTTAAACCATATGGAGTGAAGTACTTGACCATATGGAGTGTATTACTTAGTAATATACAGTGTTGTATAGTAGAACTCGAAAATTGTGATTAATTGAATATCTGACTTTATCCTGCTAAAAGAATTCCTACATCATCTTCACTTATAAATTTCAGCTCAATTATCCAGCAATTGGAGCTCCAGAATTGGCAAAGAAGGTGAAAGAACTGCTTGCAGCCTCTGGTTTCAATCAGGTAGATGAGGATAAGAAGCATGGCTTCGATCATGGAGCATGGGTACCCCTCATGCTTATATACCCAGAAGCTGATATCCCTGTTTATTAACCGTCTATTCAGTCAAGCCAGGATGGGACTAACCATTATGAAATGGGTAGAGCTTTGGCCCTTCTCAAAGATGAGACTACCTAATAATTGGTTATGGATCTGCCACTCATAACTTAAGGTCTCTACATCAATCTAGTTCTGTTCAATCCTAGGCTATACAATTTGATACTTGGCTAAAAGAAGCGCTTATCAACGGAAGGTATAATATCATACTAAACAAACTTGTTATTCATGAAAGAGTGTGCATTCATCCTCATATGTTGGAAACTTTGTAAATACAAAAATAGAAACAAAGGCATCCACTGCCACCATATAATCTGGTATGTCGTTGCCTATGTATTTGCTTCAGGTGTTGAATCCTCCTAAGGCGGTTTTCATCCGGTTGGGCAACATTTGTAATTCCTTTTTGTGGGATCAAAGGGGGGGGAAGCGTATGCATTGGGCCTCGTGGGAGAAACTGTGTTTTCCTTCAGAGGAAGGGGGTCTGGGGTTTAGATCGTTTAGGGACATGTCTCGGGCTTTTGCGGCTAAGCTATGGTGGCGATTCCGGAGTGGTGACTCTATTTGGGCGGAATTCATGCATGCAAAGTACAGTTCGGGTTGTCATCCGTTGGAGGCCTCGTCTGTGCGGCCTTCAAGGACTTGGCGCCGCCTTGAGGCGATCAGGGTGGTGGTGGAGCCGAAGATTAGGTGGTGTATAGGGGAAGGCCTGGTGGACTTCTGGAAGGATCGATGGGCTTTAGATAATCCGTTGGAAGAGGTGGTGGTGGGTGCGGGGCATCCGCATTTTCTTGTGTCTGAATTTTTAACCAGGGATGGTTGGGATGAGGCTCGTCTTGCTCAGTGGGTGCCGGAGTCGGTTATCGGTGTGATAAGGGACATCCCATTTGAGGTTTCTCAGAAGGATAGATTGGTTTGGGCGCCTTCTTCATCGGGTCTTTTTTCAGTAAACTCGGCGTGGGAGTTTCTTCGGCAACGGAGGTGTCCATCCTTGGTTGACTCTCTCCTTGGGCAGCCAGCTTTGCCAGCAAAAATGGTGTTTTTAGCGTGGCGCTTGGTAAGGAAGTTCATTCCTTTGGATGTGGTGTTGAAGTCGCGAGGGGTGTTGCTTCCTTCCCGGTGTGGGTGTTGTTATGGGGAGGAGGAGGATCTCTTGCATGTGTTTGTGACTGGGCCGATTGCTTCCCAAGTTTGGACGAGGGTGTCGCGTAGGTTTGGGTTTCAGATGAGAAATTGCTCTACCATGGCTTCGGTTTTCATTGCTTGGTTTCTATCTTCCGATACATCGTCCAAGAATCATATTAGGGTGATAGTGCCAATTGTGGTGTGTTGGTTTTTTTGGAGGGCTAGGAACCAGGAGCGCTTTCAGGGGGGCCGGTGGGAGGTCAACCGGATAATTTGGGATGTGGAGAATTTTATAGAACAGTTGGGGAGGGCAAATAAGCTTAGGGGGTTTCATTTCAAGGGGGATGAGGATTGTGAGTGGCGGCGGTTGGTCAGCGGTCCTGCCAGGCGAAGTTCCCCCCGGGCGATTGCCTGGGAAAAGCCTCCCTGTGGAGTGTTTAAATTGAATACAGATGCTAGTGTGATTAACGGGAGGGCCATGGGTGGTGGGCTGGTGCGTAACTATCAAGGGAAATTGATTTTTGCCTTTTATAAGGAGTTCGGGGAGCACGGGGTGCTTGAGGCAGAGTGCTTGGCGCTTCTGGAGGGGTTGCAGTTGTGTCTTCAAAGGGGGCTGGTTCCTTCGCTGGTTGAGGTCGACTCCAAGGTTTTGGTTCATTTAGTGGTATCTGGGGCGGTTGCGAAGTGGCCACTATGTAACTCTCTAAGGAAGGTGAGACGTTTTTTGGAGGGTTTTCCGGCTACCATCTCACATGTTTTCCGGGAGGCCAACAGTCCCGCTGATAGGCTTGCAGCGGTTGGGTTAACTGGTTCTCATGTGTTTGAGGAGGGTTCACATTTGCCGGCAATTGTTAGGTCGGCCATAGTTCTGGATTCCCTGGGAGTGCCAGGGGTGCGGTGGTTATCTGAGGATGGGTAGTGTGGTAGTTTGGCAGGCATTAGGGGTTCAGATAGTACTGAGGAGGTGCGGGTTTGGCTTTTTATTGGTGCTCTTTGTAAGGGAGTAAGTACTCCTTATTTTCGTTTGGTCCGCTGTGTTTGTGTTTTTGGTTTAATAAAGGTTTTAATTAAAAAAAAATATGTTCCTTAGAGAGTATTTTCTCACTAAAAAAATATATATATATATATATGATATACTATCTAAATATGGCATAGTTGAATATAGTCTTTGTTACGTTGTAAATAATTTATAGAGGAGCATTCATATTATGACCTTAAGGATGATGAAGGTTATCAACTTTGTGATTCACTTATATACATGTACATATGAGAGTTATATTGTGTTGCACTTTGGTGAAGCTAAATACGGTGAATTGGTTCATATTGATCTTCCCCAAAACCAAACAAGTAACTAAATTGACATATTACTTGTAGCATCTTCACTAATTACTTTTAAAAAATTTTTTGAAGTTTTTAAATTATCATTTAGTTTCCTGCTAAGGACTTATCTTAGTTTAGACCTCTCATTATGCAATTTATTTTATTGAGTCTCTTATACTACAAAGAACCAAACCTACATCACCTAATGGTATTCCTCTTGAAATTGATGGACAAAACCTTGTGCAAACTTACCCTAAGTGGAAGAGAAGCCATTACCTGCAAGTAGAAATTCTGATTGTGCCAATTTTAGCAAAATTGTGAAGCCTTTTACTTTTCCCATCTCAACCCCATCAAGAGTTGAATTTACACATCCAAATGATAACAACACAGTTTCATGTTCTACCTTTCACTTATATGAACTTTTATTAATATCACATTTATGATTGGTAAAACTTATTTTGAGAAACAACCTATTAAGTACACTATTTTGTGAACATGGAAGATATTAGGGACTAAATGGAGAGAAATAAAACGACGAAGGGATGAAACTGAGATTAGGGACTAAATGGAGAGAAACAAAATGACGAAGGGATGAAACTGAGATGAGTCCAAAAGAAAACTAAAACAGCAATTTGCCCTTACAAGATCTGATGTGCGACGGATCTAGACGAACACCAAATTGAGTGGGTTTGCGGAACTTTGACCCTTCTAGAATCACGAGCCACGAACTAAGGATAATCCTTAACCCAAGACTAGCAAATTTAGTGAACCAAAAGTAAAGATAGAAGAACGCCACAATCAAGGAGACTACTTGATTGATAAGTTCAATGAACAGCTTGAGATTGATTCTCAAGTATTCAAAGGAAATTCTCTTGAGGCAAGAGAGAGTGAATAAACTCACGAATATTTTATAAAATCTGAATTGTCCTTTAATGAATGAAAACCTAGGCTATATATAGCCTTACAACTTGAAAACCTAAAGTGACTTGAAAACCCTAACTCGGCTAAGCTAGGCCTTTGGCCCGATTCCACTACTCAAATCCACTATCTAATGGTCAGCTTATAATCGATCCAATGAAAGCTTTAAGCTGGCCCAACATAACCCAATAAAAGGTAATTAACCAACTTAAGTTATAGTGAGCCTAGACTCTATAAATCGGATCCAACTCAACATGAGGTCTTGGACCGAATTTATTCCTAGCAAATAAAATAGAAATCTAGAAAATAAACTACTAACTATTACTAAAAGATTCAATCTCTTGCAGCCCAAAACATGGCCCATAAGCGGCCCATATTTCGTATCAAGATCATTACTTTCATCCTTCAAATTAATCTTTTGTAAATTTTGGATTGGAAATTCACAGTTGATGCTTTTGTCCCTTATTGTTTTCATCAACTAGGAACTACACACTAGAGCTTAAATTTTGGGTTATCAAGTTCTCATCCTAGCAAGGAAAATATTGCAAAGGCCTATACTGATGCTCTCTGTATTGAATTTTACTGAACTAGTTGTTCATAATCTCTTACTTGTCTTTGGTATTTGTCTAATCCCTCTATTTCACTTAAAATACAAGATATTATTTAGCACCATAAGAAAACACCTACTTGATCAATCTTGCCTGCCTTAAAGAGTTTGGGCTTACATTAAAAGTAAGTCACTTTGTTGAGCACTACTTAGAATGCAAGGAACTATGTAGCACCTCACACAAGACCTACTTGATTAATCTAGCCTGCCTTAAAGACTTTAGATTGGAGATAAGGCATGTAGCTTTGAAGAAAAGACTGGAACCATGCTAAGGGAAGGCCAAAATGGACCATGGTTGGAAGCAGGAGACATAATGGCTTCACCCCTGAGGACTTAATTGGAAGAAAGGATACCAGCTCAAAAGACACAAGAAAAGAACAAAGCACAGGAGCTATAACTATAAGTGAAAATCAAAGAAGGAACATAGTGGGGCAGAATAGCAAAGACCAACAGAACTCTCAGCACAAGATTATGCAAGAAAGGAAACAACAGGTAAGTGAAGGAAAGTAGCAGCTGGAAAAGGAAAGAAGGGAAGTACAAGGGGAGAGTATAGGGGATAAGGAAATCTTGAGGGAAGATGGAAAGGAAAAGGATTATCAAGTGCAAACACCTCCAAATATTTACATAAAGGAAAAGGAAGTTTCTAGGGAGGATGGCAGAGGAGATGAAATGTGGATTGATGCAAATGAGGGAGAGAAAAGGAATTTGCAGGAAAATGCACAAGGGGGGAACAAAGGAAAGGAAGGAATAGTAGAAGGAATAGGAAAAGAAGGAAAACAGGAGCTGGTGCAAAAAGAAAATGTAGTAGGTGGGAGGAGAACCAGAACAACTAAAAGGAATCCAAGAGGGATGAGAACACCTCTAGCAGAAATAAAGGGACAACAAAAGGAGTCAATCCTAAGGGAGAAAAGAAAATTCAAGCTAAGGGATGAACCAAAGGACATGATTGTGGATTCAGACAAAATATAAAAGAGGGAAAATAAGCTTGTAAAAAGAGAGCAACAATCTGAAACACAATAAGGGTGACAGATGCAATCCCTGAATGGCCTCCACAATGTCAATGAAGGTGATGCTGTGGAACTGTTAAGGTGCAGAGAGCCCCTTGATAGTTCCCAAACTCAAGGAGGTATTACATCTTCACACCTTGAGTGTTTTATTTCTGTGTGAAACAACAAACCAAAAAAAGTTTATGGAAAATGTAAAGAAGAAACTAAACTTTGAGGAATGCTGTGTAATAGATTCAGTAGGTAAATCTAGAGGGCTAACTTTGCTTTGGAAGAACTGGATTAGAATTTTACAGATTGAAGTATCAAATTTTTACATTACTGCTCACATTTTGGATGTGGAAGAAAATTGTAAGTGAACTTTTGTTGGAATATATGCAAGTACAGATACTAGGAAAAAAAGATTGTAGTGGAGGGAACTAGAGAGTAAAATGAATCACTGGGGAGGGAAATGGATAATGGCAAGGGAATTGAATGACATACTATCAAACGGGGAGAAGTGGGGTGGAAGGCAAAGACCTAAAAACAGTTTTGGTGATTTTAGGAGTTTAATTCATAGGAATAACCTAGTAGATATAAGGTATGAAGGAAAGCCTTGGACATGGATCTCACACTGGAATAGTTAGGAGATAAAAGAAATGCTGGATAGAGTGCTAGCAAATCAGGAGTAGAGCCAAAAGTTTGAAACAGCAAAGTGCTTGCATATTGAGAAGGAGGCTTTTGATCATAGTATCATGTTGCTAGACAAAAAGCCAAAGAGAAGGAAGGGAGGAGGAAGGTTTTATTTTGATAAAGATGGGCTCAAAACTAGCAAGTTCAGGAACTGATCAGCAAGGCTTGGGATGAACCTCAACAGGGATGTAAGATGTTCAGATTGACAAGAAAACTCAAAAGATGTAAGCAAGTTCTGATAGACTGGAATAAGGAAAACAAAAACAACTTTGGGAAAGAGACAGGCTTTAAAGCAATAGATTCGGGAAGCAAAGCAAGGTGAGTATGACAAGAACAAGAGGCTAATTGTTCACCTGAAATTGAAATTAAGCCATGCATATAAACAAGAGGAGATCTATAGGGCATAAAAAGCAAGATGCAGGTGGCTTAAAGAGGGCGATAAGAACCCAACTTTCTTCCATGCAAAGGTAAGAACCAGAAGGACAAGGAATAGACTAGCATGTCTGTAGAATGAAGAAGCAAATGGTGTGAGACAGAACAGGATATTGAAGAGGAAATTTGCAGTTTCTACAAGAAAATCTTCACATCTTCCCAGCCATCAGATATTGATGTAGTTACTGAGGCTGTTCCTTGTACAGTCACAGTGGAAATGAATGCAATGTTGATTAAACCAGTAGAAGAAAGGGAAGTGGAGAGTGCTCTATTCTCCATGCATCCAGATAAAGCACCAGGTCTTGATGGTATGTCCCCTCTTTTCTTTCAAAGATATTGGCATGTTTGTAAAAATGACATTGTTATGGCTGTTCAAAGTTTCCTAAATAGTGGTCATCTCCTAAAAGTCCTCAGTGAAACACTTGTGACCCTGATTCCTAAAGTAGAGGCTCCAGTTAATTTATCACAATATAGACCTATATCCCTGTGTAATGTCCTGTATAGAGTCATAGTAAAAGTGCTGGCTAATAGATTGAAAAAAGTCATCCCAAACTGCATTAGCTTTGCACAGTCAACTTTTGTTCTTGGTAGGTATATTCTTGACAATGTTATCCTAGCCCAAGAAATGGTTCACTTTTTGAAAAATGAGAGAACAGGTATAAATGGTATTATGACCCTAAAACTTGACTTATCAAAGGCTTATGATAGGGTAGAATGGCAATTGCTAGGAAGAATGATGATGAAAATGGGATTCTGTCATATCTGAGTAAGGTGGATCTTGAACTGTGTTAATGTTAATGGTAATGGTTAAAAGGTAGGATATGTCCAGCCTTCCAGGGACATTAGACAGGGTGACCACCTCTCCCCTTATCTATTCCTAATATACGCTAAAGGTATCTCAAACTTGATGAGTCAATTGATTAGCACAAAAGTCATAACAGGAGTAAGGGTCGAAAATGGGTATCC